TGCAACATGCCTTAAGCGATGAACCATCGTATTCAACAAGCTTGTTGATTGTCATGATGGCATTTCTACAACACTATTTTTGGATACCGTTGAAAGTGGATGACTGTCTGTGTGTGGATAGCATGGAAGAAAGAACGCCAGAGGACGACAACATGTTTAGTCAAGATAGTTTGTTGATCAACATCGACAACAGTTGGATCATCATCGTCGACCGATCTTGTAGGTTGTGTAAAAAATGGAGTACAACCTGGGCGATGGGAGAACCCTTTCAATGTGTATTTTGCGGGCTCTTATTCAAACTTGTTCCTTGCCATCGTTTCCACGCATTTTATCAACGATCTATCAAGCCTAATGGCAATGGAGGATTAGACTAATGTGGACTTGTTATTTTATCCTTTTAGGCATTCCATTGATTTTAGCAAAGTCAAGACCAAATCGAAAAGTCCATTGCAACACAATCGATATTGTTCAGCACCAACTGAATTCCACTAGTGATAGCCTGCAATCACTGCAAGTCAAGAAAAAAAATTGGACTTTATCAACTTTGCCAAACTGTATTGTTGAACTCAACTGTTAATACATTAAAAAATACAGTTGCCAATTGCAAAAAGAAGAAGAAACAATACTGTAACTGCTTAATTCATCTACTATGACAGAATACAAGTTGGTCGTTGTTGGAGGTAATGTGGCATTTCTTTGCTCCATTTTATCATCCATTTTCTCTCCCTACTTTCCAAGCCCATTTCACTTTTTTCAATTCTTTTTTTCTTGCCACATAGTAGCTCTTTTGCCCAATATTATCACGCATTCTAGTATGTTTTAGTCTATCTACAATCATAGCACCTTTTTTTTTTTTCCCAACTGATGCAAACTATCAGGTAGTGATATCTTGATTCCTTCTCCATGGATGTACGATCGTTATCCAAAATGTCCATCGTGAGTTGTTGAGTTATTGGGCCAAGATGAAAATCGACGTTTAGTAATGGGAATGGGATGATAGTTGCGTATGTGGTATCTCTTTTGCCTAATATTATCACATATCAAAGTCTATATTTGTCGATGCAAACTATCAGGTATTAATATCTTGATTCCTTCTCCATGGATGTACGTTATCCAAAATGTCCATCGTGAGTTGTTGAGTTATTGGGCCAAGATGAAAATCGACGTTTAGTAATGGGAATGGGATGATAGTTGAGGATGTGGTACCTCTTTTGCCTAATATTATCACACATCAAAGTCTGTTTTAGTCGATCTACAATCATAGCACAGTTTTTTTTCCCCAATGGATGCAAACTGTCAGGTATTAATATCTTGATTCCTTCTCCATGGATGTACGATCGCTATCCAAAATGTCCATCGTGAGTTGTTAAACTATTGGGCCAACGACGTTTAGCAATGGAAGAAGATGATGGATGTGGCCCCTCTTTTGCCTAATATTGTTACGCATCAAAGTCTGTTTTAGTCGATCTACAATCATAGCACAGTTTTCTCTCTCAATGGATGCAAACCATGAGGTATTCTTGATTCCTTCTCCATGGATGTACGATATCGTTTTGTAAAATTTCCATAGTAAAGTTGTTGAGATATTGGGCCAAGATAAATCTCGACATTTAGCCATGGAATAGCATTTTACTGGAGTAGGATACTAGTCGCAATGAGTAGTAAAATAAAGTTGTCTTTTCCCTATACCTACTCAAATGATGAACGAATTTGATTTTTTGAAAGAGTTGAAAGGAATGACTATCGCGTAGCCTACACTTGTTAGAAATGGATTCATACAAGTGATTATTGCCTCAATTTTACTCAACCTTCATCAAGATGGCTAGGATAATCTGGCCAGGAGGACAGTTTATCGGAAAGAAACATGACCGAGCTAAGCTAGAATTTTATACTCGAGATAGTTGAATATTGAATGGCTTCCTCTATTTTTGTAGATGAAAGATACAATAGCTCAACAACGTCTAAATCTTTCTGCTTACAGCTCAAATCTGTTAATAAATCATCATCATCATTTGAAATGCCTCCATTGAACGGAGAACTATTACCTGACAGCAGACTTGATCATTCGACCCAATTTGGATACTGTAGTGAGCAGAAATCATGGCCTTTTTTGGCTGTCCATGAACTAGCGATGGTGTGGAAAGTTTGCTTTTCAACGTAATATAAAAGTACAAGCAGAAATCGTCTTTTTAGCTTGATTGCCGAAAGGTTGCTTTTAAACGTAGTACAAGTGCAAATGCGATTGGTGTTTTAGTGACGACGAAAGGGGTTGGAATAGTCGATCGTTCAAATTTGTCTACACTACGGTAAAGGCTGCAGTTCAAATAGACTTGCAAAGTAATATTGTCCATTTTACAAGTATATTTTAGAGTTGAAAGGGAATATTCTCCTAGCTAGAATTTCTCCTCCACCATCGATGTATCGACTTGAGCCTATTATTCCCTACCAGCATTTCTTAACCTCAAGGAAAGACGAAAAACAATCAATCATCGTCAATGGAATAGCACTAGTCTTATACAGTTGGACTATTCCTTTTTGAGGCTGTTCTTCCCTACGAGTATTTCTTATCCTCAAGGAAAAACGATGATTGCTTGAAAAACTCTCTTCTTAACTTAAAGGAATAGCACTAGTCTTGTAAAGTTGGACTACTTTTAGACTATTTCTACAGTACTGGAGGCTATTCTTCCCTACGAGTATTTCTTATCCTCAAGGAAAGACGATGATTGCTTGAAAAACTCTCTTCTTAACTTAAAGGAATAGCACTAGTCTTGTAAAGTTGGACTACTTTTAGACTATTTCTACTGGAGGCTATTCTTCCCTACGAGTATTTCTTATCCTCAAGGAAATACGATGATTGTTTGAATAGGAATAGTGCTAGTCTTGTACAGTTGGACTAGTTTTGGACTATTTCTACTGGAGGCTATTCTTCCCTACGGGTATTTCTTATCCTCAAGGAAAGACGATGATTGCTTGAAAAACTCTCTTCTTAACTTCAAGGAATAGCACTAGTCTTGTACAGTTGGACTAGTTTTAGACTATTTCTTTTTGAGGCTATTCTTCCCTACGAGTATTTCTTATCCTCTAGGAAAGACGATGATTGCTTGAAAAACTCTCTTCTTAACTTAAAGGAATAGCAATAGTCTTGTAAAGTTGGACTAGTTTTAGACTATTTCTACTGGAGGCTATTCTTCCCTACGAGTATTTCTTATCCTCAAGGAAAGACGATGATTGCTTGAAAAACTCTCTTCTTAACTTAAAGGAATAGCACTAGTCTTGTACAGTTGGACTAGTTTTGGACTATTTCTACTGGAGGCTATTCTTCCCTACGAGTATTTCTTATCCTCGAGGAAAGACGATGATTGCTTGAAAAACTCTGTCGTTAACTTCAAGGAATAGCACTAGTCTTGTAAAGTTGGACTAGTTTTAGACTATTTCTACTGGAGACTATTCTTCCCTAAAACTGCTCATGTTGCTAACTTACTATGCGTGTTATTGTAACTTTTCATCTCGCTAAGGTAAATAATTAATTACTGCTATCAGACCCTTTATATTGGCTGGGTTGTTGGAAATTTGCAAAACATTGTATTAAGCATGCAATCCAACATAGGCAAAAGAATAATATGAATTGGATTGGGCTATCGTAGTATTCAGTCAACATTAGCACAGTCATTAAATAGGATTGGGGATTATATCCACTATGGATGATTCAATAAAGTTGTTGTAGAATAAAGTAGACACAGGGTACAAATCGACATTGGCAATAGTCCAACTCCCTTCTACTCTATTAATATATGGCATTCGAATGGCAGTGATTATTCACAGTCTATAAAATAAGGATAACGATCTCCTCTTTTCCTTGTAAAATGGAAATTTCAATCAAGACCATTTGTACTTCATTTTTGGGATGCTTTTTGGATAATTAATTTGTACTGGCGATGAGGAGACTGTTAATGCTACGTTACTAGTCAACATCAATCTAGGTAGAGTGGTGGAGTTTCTTTTTTTTCCCCCTTATTTCCAGTTCATTTTCTAGCATGTGGAAACACTATCGGTTAGATAGCGTTGGCTAGGATACTTATAGATTGATAATTTAATGCTTAAGAAATCGTTCTTGTCGTTGTATTATTTTATAACCTATTTCTCATCATCAATTTCTCTTTTTTTTCCACCTGTCATCGATTGGATTATGCTATTGGCGTTAAATCATTGGTGTCCATATGGTGGATTGCTATTACTTTATGCTTATGACGACCATCTAGCTGGTGGCGTTGGCAAGAGCGCATTAACGATTCAGCTAATACAAAATCAGTGAGTTGAAATTAAACTTAAACCTTTAAGCAATTCATGTTGTAGTCTTGATTTGACGATAGATATCCTACTGATGGATTACTAAAAAAAATCGATCCAAAAGGATGGATAGCTATCTTTATGCTATGGCTTTTTATTCGTATATTCATTGCTTAAATCAACTGTAATATGCTGCTTGAATAGCTTTACAAGATCATGCTATTACTTCATTTTTGCCAACGATTTGCTAGCGCTGTAT